TGATTATATACGTGCCATGATTTGACATCCCAATGAGCGGCGCCGGTGCCCCTGTAAGAACTTAGTGTGACGACTCAGCGCCGTCCACCAAGATGGGAGCTGTCCACCAAGGTAGCCCGGCCCCGCAAGTTTTCCTAACCTTGGACACCCGGACGGTCATCAATCAGCTTTGAATATTGCAAAGGCAGTGTCTTCCATCCTCATTTAGTCTCTTGAGGCATCGCATTGATCAAGGACTGCGGCAAATTCCTCCAAATCATGGGCCGAACGGAGCCCTCCAAAGGCCTGGCGCCACCAAGCTTCCGCCGTGACGCACGCGCCAAGAAGGCAAAGGCTACGCTGAACAAGGTCATACCGGCGCTGCTGTCGAGCCACCCGCGCGCAAAACGCGGCAGTGAGGCCTCGGAGCTGATTGTTGAGCCACCTGCCCCCAAGTCGGCGTCGAAAGCAAAAGACAAGGACAAGCATGACAACTCATCGCCACCGAATGACGGGCCGGAACTGTTCCTTGAGGTGGGGGACACCTTGACGGTGGCTAGATCTCTGCTTCGAGATCACGAGACCGACAAGGATGATCTGAGCAATAAAGAGGCTCGTGTTGCTATTCTGAACATGGCTTCGCCGCTGTCACCTGGTGGAGGCTTTGTCAATGGAGCTAGTAGCCAGGAGGAGTCATTGGTAAGCATCGCCAGTTTCTTATATCACTTGACTGCAAATACCCATGTGATGGGACTATATGAGCGTCTATTGAGAGGGTATGGTGCTACGGGGTAGAAAATGTCTGCATATGCAATCACTAACGTGAACACTGTAGTGTATGCGCACCACCCTCTTGCCATCACTCAAAGATGAATTCTACCGTCTTCCGGAGCTCGGAGCCGTCTACACACCCGACGTTCTCGTATTCCGGGACGAGTCCGGGGAAGACCTGGAGAAGCGGGACCGCTGGTTCGTGGACTGCGTCAGTGCGGCCATGCTCCGGATGCCGGAGACGGAGGTCAATGAGGAGTCTGGGCGCGGCAAGTACGTCAACTCGAGCGACAGGGATACCATTTTGCAAAAGATGCGCATCGTCATGAGAGTGTTCCAGGCCAAGGGTGCCAGAAAAGTCGTGTAAGTCCCTTGTCACATTCTACTCGTTATGCTTCCCCGTCGTGGTAGTATCGAGTGGCATCCGTTTTGTCATGGCTCCGTTTTCCAGTCGCCAGATACGCACCCTTCCGTTTTACGGGTGCAAATTCAAAAATTCGTAATGCATTCAAAGTACTGATACATTTCATCAATATAGGCTTGGTGCTTGGGGTTGTGGTGCATACGGCAACCCAGTCGGCGAGATAGCAGCCGCCTGGAGCAAGGTGCTCCTGGGCGGAAAGAACAAGGCCAAGGCCAAAAAGGAGACCTGGTCAGGTATCAAGGAGGTCGTCTTTGCGATCAAGGATCCCAGCCTGGCCGAAGGATTTGCGGCAGCGTTCGGTCCAGGCTTGACGCGCAGGGAAGCCGAAGATGCCGCATCGGAAGACGAACCCGAGGGCGACGGCGACGATGTCGAAGCGCTCAGGCTTAAAGAGCTTCAGGCCAAGATCAGCGAGCTGGAGGTACGCATGGAGCAGACCGCCAATGTCCAGGTCAAGTCTGGGCTGGGCGGTATATTGGCTGGGCTGAAGAGTCAACTTGGGTCAGTCGCAGTTGCAGTCGACGTCAACGAGGACAAGGATCCCGCCGAGACGGAAGACGATGCCAGCCAGGCTAGCAGCGACGAGGCAGTATCAGACCAAGACAGTGATGTGTCATCGCCCCAGTCTAGGGAGGCACAAGAGGCAGAAGATAGCGATCATAATAACAGGCGGTGATGAGTTGGTACATTCGGCGCGATAGCCTCCATGAGGCCCGAGTCGCTATAATTCTCCGATTCCAGTACTACTCACATGGATTCTCCAATGAACGGACCCAGGCAAGAGTAGTAGAAGTAATGGTTGCTTTGCTGCAGGTTAATCGATTTCCAAGGGTACTTCTGCCGGCTGCTTTAATCGAACGACGGACGACATGGTCCTCCTTCTTCCTCACTGGCCCTCTCTCACCTTGGACACACCGTCCTGCAAGAGCGTATTCGCTTCATTTCACACCTCCCCCCTGCTCATGTAGGAAGGGCAAGATCGCCCAGGAGTGTTCATGCACTCCATAGTCGCACCTCGAGGCCACACACACACGCACACACTCACGTCAAGGACTCATCATGACTTTTTTCGTGTTGGCTGCTATAGGTCAGTCAGCAGAGTCGGTGTGCCAAGACCTAGCTAGCTATGACCCTTGGCTGCGCAGGGGGGGGCGGGCAACATGTCAATAAATGCGAGGCCCCGTTCGGATGGACTACCGAACAATACTACAACGTTGAGGTCTAGGCTTGGCCTTGTTGGTTGCGCTTTTACCCCCCTTCCGTTTGCGCAGAAAGATATTGGGTCTTGTCCTGCCTTGTACTACATGATTATTGCTTGCCAGCACTTGGCATATGCCATAGAGAGTGCTATGTTATCTATACTCATGCACAGTGATAAGCATGGCTCGTCTGGGTGCTGATCACGAAATAATCTCGGCCGAGTCTCCTGACACAGTTAAAGCTGAACCACAACCTCGGGATCAATAATCCCATAATTGATGCCTGTGCCGCAATGATCTTTGTCGGCGGTACGGCACAGCTGCCCATCTGGTCAAGGTGAGAGAGTTAATGGCGCGAAAACTGTGCCGCACACCAAAGACGGTAGTACTACTTTGTGCTGATAATCCATGTTCGACAAAATTACCAAGGCAGGTCCAAGCTCGACCGCTCGCGAAACGACCATTGCAGATGATCCTGGCTATTTGAGCTAAATGTCCTTGTCCTCCCCCCTCAAGACGAGACGTTATGTTGTCTTTTAGTAGCTTTGCTAAATGCTTACGGAAACACATGACCTAGATCAGATGCGAGAAGCTGACGGAGAAATAGCCTGCTGTGCCACTGACTTCTCCGTACCTGGCAAGCCTGGCCAGCCTGGCCAGCCTGGCCTGCTTCTTAGTCGTTGGTTCGGATACCTGGCTCGCATTTTCAATCAGATCATCCTGGCATGACCACCCAGCCGCTCAGGGGTTTTAGACCCAGAAAAAGTGCGATCTCTTGAAAATTGTAGATCCTCAAAAGCACACTGCATACAAAAGTGCACTAATGATTTAGTAGAGAGTAGACCAGAGTGTACTTGGTAGTTGTCCCGTCAGTCCGTCTGCTACCGACAGGGCTGTCAAGGCTGCAGAACCACCAGCACCCTGCCCAAGCTGCCTAGTAACAGAGATCTGTGAGATTTTCCCTCTCCACCTCCTGACTCTAATCTTTAAGCGAGGGGACTTCAGGGTTGTCGCTGCCAATCCCCGGGTGAACTTTCATATTGATTCTCCGTTTCCGACTTACCAGAAAGGGAAAGTTTTAAACCCCGTTTAGACCCGAAACCCCGATTTCTCCGGCGGGGCACAAGAGACAATTGTGACGAGTGTTTAGGTAGCTCTCTAGCGTACCCGAGGGCCCGGAGCTGGTCCCCTGTCCAATTGCTTACAAGCTCTGAAATCACGAAAAAAGCAATTGTCTCTGGGTGACGACCCCCCCAACGACGACAATGATCATGTAAGATAGACAAAAGTTGCCAAAAGCCGGGGGCCAAGACACGACGACATGACGCTCCTCCAACATATTCGCATCCCCTCGACCGCGCCCCGGTTCCCGACCTACGCCCTCGCCGTGGAGCTGCAGACACACCTGCAGAGGCGGCTGCTGGAGCACAAGGCCGCCCTCGGCGCTTCGTCCTCGCCGTCCTCCGCGTCCTCTTCCCCCTCCTCGACGACGTCGCCAACAGCACCGCCGCCGTCTCTCATCTCCTTCACGCCCGCCCCGACGTACACGCTCGGACGAAGACAAGTAGGGCCCCTCGCCCCCGCCGAGGCACAACGTCTACGGGCCCCTCTACGTGTCGGATCGTCATCGTCATCGCAGTCACGGTCAGAATCATCACAACGGTACTACGCCCCCGAGGTGGTGAGCGCGCCGCGCGGCGGGCTGGCCACGTACCACGGCCCGGGCCAGCTCGTCTTTTGGCCCGTCATCGACCTGCACTCGCCGTACCACCGCCACTTTACCGTGCGCGACTACGCGTGTCTGCTGGAGAAGACGACCATTGCCGCGCTGGCGCGGGTGACGAAAGGAGGAGGCAAGGCGGCGGCGGCGGCGGCGGGCGTCGAAGTCAAGGGCTTCACGACGGATAATCCCGGCGTCTGGGTGCGGCACAACCATAATGCTGCTACCGCTGCCGCTGCCGCGTCGGGGGTCGGAGGGGAAGACCGCAAGATTGCCGCCCTGGGCGTACACCTCCGCCGCCACGTCACCGGCCTCGGCGTCGCCGTCAACGTCCACATGCCCGTCCAGGGCCCCGAGGAGATCAACCCTTGGTCGCGCATCGTGGCCTGCGGCCTCGAGGACAAGGGCGTGACCAACCTGGTGACGGAGCTGTACGGAGCCAACGGTGATGAGGAGGAGCAAAACTCGTACACGTCCGCCGGACAGCAGCTGGAGGATGAGCTCCGGCAGGCATGGGCCGACGAGTTTACCGAGAGGCTCTGTCTCAAAACGGATAGTCCGGCTGGCTATACTGAAGATGCTGCTTTAAGCGCATTGATCTCGTCATTCGAAAAGCATGCCCAGGGCCTAGACTCTGGCCATAGCTTCAATGCAGGTCTTGGAGCTTAACCAGCATATGCTTTTGCTATAGTCGTATTATAGTCGTATTATAGAGTCAATTATAGAGAAATAGTTTCAGATCATATAGGAACTTCAATATTCACGCAGTTACAAGCTTGCACAGAAATGCAAAGCACTGTCCCAAATGTGATGGTCATAGAGCATTTGCCGATATTGACTACCATTTATTCATCGATATTGACCGCAACCACCAAAAAGTGGCGCAGAAACACCAAAAAGGAAATCTTGATGAGAGTGGGATTCGAACCCACGCCAATTTCTTGACTACGATTTTGATCTCAGGTAAACCTGAACGTAGCGCCTTAGACCGCTCGGCCATCTCACCGTATTACTTGAAGAAATCGTGGGTTGTGGGGGATTATATAAAAGTCTGTATTTGGGTCGCCGACGAGAAAACATCGAACAGTAGAATATTATTTAAGACTTTCCCGCATTGCTCCAATGCGGTCCTCATTATTTAAATGCATCATTTGAAAGCATCGTCAATCCGAGTCCAAGCCTCAAAGGCCCGTCATGAAACCAGCGCCTCGCAATGAATGTCAAAGCGATTACCTTGCCAATAATAGAAAATCAAGTAAACAAATCAAGCCACCAAAAACACCACGCCTCTACCACCCAAGTTTTCATTGCCTTTCAAATGCTTAGGAAGAACTCTTTTTCCGGCCGGCCATTCTAGTCGTGGGCACATCATCCTCCTGTTCTGGTTTGTATTCCTCGGGTTGGAATTGGGGATTGTTGTAGTGAGCTATGTTGTAGTAGCTCTGCTTGAAGATATTAGTTTGAACCTGAAAAGCCGGTTCTGGGGGTGGGGGAGCAGCGTCGGCGCCACCAGGGACTGGAAACATGTGTTTGCTGAAGCGCAACGAGGTGAGCGACGCTGCGTCTTGTGTCTGGGGTTGAGGTGAAGGTTGCGATGTTGCACTGTGGGCTGGTGAAAGAGGTGAAGGAGCCACGGCTGGCGACTCGGCGTACTGAGGTTGTATCCATACAGACTGAGGCGCCGGGCTAAAGGTTGTATCCATTGGCGAGATTGGTGGAGGTGATCCAATCGATGGGAAGGGAGGTGCTGGCCCACCAAAGCTAGGAATCATGGCCAGAACCCCCATGTTCATGGTCGAGAATCCCCCAAGATCAGACGCGTTGCTCTGAATATTGTGTCCATGGGACAATGATGCCACTCTGTTCACCTGCAAAGGAGGAACAGCAGCTGGAGGCGCTGCAGGTACAGGCGCCTTGTCCTGGCTGCGATACAAGATGTCGTAGTGATCAGGACGATAAAGGAGGCAGATCATGAGACCGAGTTCCGCCGGATCCTTATACTTGGCCTCGTCTGGCCATCGATGCGTATTCACCTCGCCGCCCGGAGTCAGGTCGAGATATGCAATCTCCAGGGTCATGTCGGCCGGTGCGAGAAAGACATCGAACAAGAGATGGATAGCAATCTGGTCAATCTCCTTGTTGACGGGCATGATCCATTGGTCGCAATAGGTGGTTGGATCCCCCGTGATGAAACCATGGTACTTGTCCAAGTTGCCTTTCAAGCATGATGCCGCGAGTAGTCGAAGATGATAGATCAAGCCATTAGAAGAAAGGTCTCCGTTCCACATGTCCAGGACAATCGGCATGGCATCCTGTCCATTTTCGAGAGCGCCGATGATTTCCTCGAACAAATCCTTCGTCGGCTGGATTATGTCCTCGAACAAGTAGAGCTCAAAGCCGCCGGTTTTTTCAATAAAGTCATTCAGCCTCTTGATCCGATCAAACTCGATGTTCACACGGTCAATGTCCCCACATTGCACAAGGTTCTCAAAGTATGCAAAGCCGATGGCTATTCGCAGTGTCAGTTAATCAGCCAAACTTACGGATGACAGCCACCACAACCACCACTATAGCATGTCGCCATCTATTTGGTCAGAACCACATGCCCTTGTTATTCGGGATGTGAGACCTGGAAGCAATGGTCCAGATTCCAAAGGCTGCCACTCGGTAAAACCCCTTGGCGAATCTTGATATGAACCAAATTGCGGGGTAAGGGTAAGATAATATGCAGGAGGACGCCAGCATCACAAGACAATTGCAACTCACCTCGCCAGCCACAATTACCGTCCCCCTGGACCTGACGGTAGGTCGAGTACGTCGAGGGCAATGCCTGGGATCATGTCTGATTAGTTTTTTGCCTGTCTGTGGTTTTGCTGTGATTGGATGTGATGGGCATGTGTTTTAGTCCCTTGGGGTGTGCCAATCTATGTCAGTGTGGAGGAGCAAATGCTGTGCAGCACGACAGATTCTCGTCGATGAGATCAGCCGCTACGGCAATCCAGTTGTCCATACAGGGGGTTGCGGCACGGCACAAGGGTTCGCTTGATAGTAGCATATCTACCCACTCAAGTGCGGACCCATGCGCAAGTGTTGCTCCGGACGTACAAAGTAGCAGGTAATAAAGATGGGTAGCGAGCGGGATGGACAGGGGGAGTATGAGCTTGCGAGCAGTCGTGTCGCGTAGATGGGATAGGGCGGGTAGGGAGGCAGCGGGACGGGATAGAATCAGGTTCTCTGCCAACTTACCACAGTTTTGGCAACGTAAACGGGGTTTGCCTTGGCATATTCTTGAGTGATTGCTTCGCTCGACTTTTTGTCGCTAACATTGGGGCCCTAGTGGAAAAAAGCTTGAGTGAGCTGTCCTGTCGTGTGTGTGATTTGAATCCGGTGAAGAATTGGCAATGCATGATGCAGAAGAAAAAGAAAGGCGGCAACTAGAAGAAGCAAAAGCCGATGGAGCAGAGGTGCAAGAAAAAGCTCCAACGACAAGTTGCAGCGGGATTCGGGGAAAGGGCAAATACACAATGTCGAATAAATGAATGAATGGACGATTGATTGATTGAATGAACCCACCTCGAGCTCAGGCTGGTAGTCCCGAGCAGCGGCCTCTTGCTGGGCGAGGTCGCTCGGGGCCTCCATCTTGATGTTGTAAGGTCCTGGATCGTAGGATGCCGAGTAGTTGTGGAGATGTTGTTGATTTTGAGGTTGCTGCTGTTGATGGTAGGATGAAGAATCTGACGACGACGGAAGTCCGTGAAGTGGAAGCTGGAGCTGTTGATGATGTGGTTGTTGTTGTTGCAGATGCTGGTTGTGTGAGTTGACGTGGTAGTGGTTGTAAGGACTGGAGGAAATGGGTGAGGTGAATGCAGTAGTAGTACTAGCAGCGGGAGCACCTGTATTCGTACTACGGCTACTGCTACTAGTCGCAGCAACGGCGCCCGGATTCAGGCCTGGACTGCGATTGCTGGTGGCTCCTCCCCCGCCTACACTCTGGCTGCTACCACTATTGCTGGCCATTGATGTGGGTGCAAACGTGTATTCGGGCAGATTGGCATTGACTACAGTGAGTCCATACGATGCTGGTGACTGGTAGAACGATGGCATTCCATTTCGTTTTGGCTGGAACATGCCACGGGGTGCGAATGGTCTTGCCATGTATGGGTGGGCATGGGCGACAGTAACAAGAAGGAGAGAAAAGAGAGAAAATCAATCTGGAAAAGATGCCCTTGTTTTTACAATCTCCTGTTACACACACTCTTTCGAGATTCCTTGGCAGACGCGCGAGGCTACTTGCCCTTGTTGCTTTGGGTCCTTCTCTTTGCAAAGTGTCGGCACACGATAGACTGTAAGGTTTAGGGTGGTGGATAATGGATGGTTTTGGCGGAGAGTACTAGGTTAGCTGACGGTCGGCTTCGAAAGAACCAGTGCCGCCCGAGGGGTGATGCGGAGTTGTTGAAGGGTGGGAAGAAGGAGAAAAAGAAGAGAAAAAGAAAGAGATAGAGACCAAGGATGTGAATGAGAAACCTCAATACGAGAGAGTCGTTTATTTGTGAAATAAAATAATTCTTTTTCTTGTCTCTTTTACGGACGGAACCTTGCGGACGAAAATCCAATGGTGGTAGTCCGTCCAAGCTTTCACCACCCACCTTGAATCGCCTGTCACGTAGGTAAAAGGTAAGGAAGGCAGTCTTGTACATCTACCCCCCGTAGTTAGGCTTTTTGTCACGGTAGTCCAGGTTTATAAGATCATTTAGGTAATGTATCAACCTAGAGATGTATGTATGCATGTACCTACCTTGCCTGTTTTCATGTTGCCTAGCCATGTTACCTACCGTATGGGCGGCGCTCCATTCCCGTCTGCTGAGAGTAACGGTAACCCGACTATCCGCATCGACTGACTTGAGCGTGGACGGACCACAAACCAAGATACAACTCAACATTCAGCAGAGAGCGCACAAGGGGCCAGCCAGGCCTGATGAGAATGGCCCAGCCCTGATTTGGCCATGTAGGCCCATCTAACTTGACCTTCCGTCTTGCAGTGCATCCCATCATTTGACAGTACCCGCACCCAATCGATGTATCGATGGATCGCTGGTCGGTGGTTCAAACACCGTCAGCCTATACTACTCTTAGAGAGTCTACCTATGTAATCACGCATTATCATATCATGCCAGGCCAGGCCAGGTCCGCGGGCAGTGCAAATGCAATCAAATAAACATTTGAATGCAATCATCAGCTCTATGTTTACCGACTACCGGTGATGAAGTAAGCAAGCTACATACATTATTCTTAACACCAAGTATGCGAATTACTACCAAATATGCGAAAGGTGAAACGGTCATGCCGCGGGAAATCCATTCATCATCATGGCCCGGGGCGATTCACTCATTTGTCGGGTTCCGCTCGCTCTCATGCTGTCAGCATCAAGCGGATTCGAGTTGCATGCTTCACAGGATCATGCTCCCCGTATGGCGAACCTCTGACCTGGGGCCTCACTTGCGAAACTGTGAAATCTGGACCCTGGGCAGCGTCCCATGAAGCCAAGTCTCTTAGGGCTTGTCGCTTGCGATGGCGCCCCTGTAACCAGATCCAGGGAGTATGCTACCGCCCAGAGATACCTAGCTGCTGTCAGTATAATCGCTAGGCCAATTTGAGCTAGGGGAAAAGGCAGGTCCCTGGCTGGTCCCTACCGCATACATACAGCATACAGAGTACCTCGTACTACCTACTATGTACTGTCTACCACCATGGGCTATGTGTTGGGAACATCCATCAATGGATGGGAGGATTGCCTGTCGCATGAAGCCTCGACCACACACGAGTGCAGAGACTACATATTGCACATGCACACGTCTCTTGTGCACTCCACGTTCCTCACCAACTTGCAGTGCAGCAGCAGAGGTGCCTATCCAGTCATACAAGCTTTCATTTGGAATTGGTCGCGCCCTGCTTTTTTGCTTTGATATCTTTTACCTTTCAGCCATCTTATACGTCGAGTTGGTACTT